TTGTACCAAAACAATTAGCTTAGTTTTATAAGCAACATATGTAAGTATATATACGAAAGATAGTTAGACTGTGATCTATTCGGTACCACTTGCTCTAATAAGTAGCAGCCAAATTCAAGTACAGCAACTATTACTGACTGCAGCAGTCGAAATGACAAGAAAAAAATATCTAATCGAGTGAACTAAAGTCGCCTTCCAGACAAGATCTAGAAATTATTCCAAAGGACAAGGGCGAAACCTGAAATTATTCCGATGATCCATTAGAGTGCGCATTAACCAACGAAAAATTAATAAGTGGCGATTATCTAAACATCATGGGTTGCCTTTTTTAAGAAGCAGTCAGTTGACATGTATGAACTTGTCATGGCTAAACCATCACAACTATGAAATAAGCAGATCCATTTACTTGGACGAGCGATAATGCTTTGCTCCGGAAAACCTTAAATCCACAAATGTTTAGAAACCTGTATTTCAGTTATAAATTTTAACTTGTTATCCTGCGAAAAAAAAACTGTTTGTTTGATAAATAGAAAGGACGAATAGTACAACACCGACGGAATCGTATACAATATATTTAAATTTTATTCAACGTTATTATACAACGTGTAGACCAGCGGTTCTTAACCCGGTATCACGTATGAAAACGCAGAGAAAACTAGTACCATAAAACTAAAAAAATAAAAGATCTATGTATGTACGCATCAAAAATTTATCTTCAAAAACTTGTCAAAAATTTTGGCATTGACAGCATTTCGTCTTACTAAAAATTCCGTAGCTTACTTCAGAGGAGAATCTTCTTTAGCATGTATTTTGGGCATTTAATTCCGAAGATCTATTTTCGTAAGATTATACATACATCCTTACTATTCAAAATGTTTTTTAAGGAAAGTAGCACGCGTGGAATAGTCTGAGAAGCGCTAATATTGTCAAATATGTATATGTATGTACGTATGTACATATTTCACCTTAGCTAAGAAATTCCGCGATTAACTTTTGTTTTCGTAATTGCAGCTCCAAACTATTATGATCATATTGCACACAATATGTATTTATGTAGTTTTCTCAGCGACCAATTCAAGCTTAACTATAATTGCAAAATAGTACTCCTCGCGTAGGCCAATTGAAAAACGTGACTGGCGCAAAAGTTGGCAAAAAATAATTGTGTAGTATGTACGTATGTATGTATGTATGTATGTTCGCATGTCTGGAAAGTTCCCAAAATGTGTCTGCACAGGTGATTGTGTAGGTTTATTTACAAACGCTTACAGCTAACAAAAACAAACAAAAATACGAGACAAAAGTAACAAATATTTGTTAATTGAAATGTTAGACCGCAAACAACAATATTTCGAGTGGTAACAATGATTGAGAGATAACCATATTAGGCCATTCATTAAACACATATCTACATATCGCACCCTAAATCAAAAACAGGTTGAATATACAAGAGCACTCGATGGTAAACAATAGTAAACAAAAGAATTTGAATATAATTTGTAAACACTTATGGCCAATTATTTTAAACAAATGTTAACATGGTGGCATGCGAAACTTTTTTGCAAAAAAAGTTGAGGTGTAGATGTAGTCATAGTAAGTATGCACATGTGGTTTATATGTATTGCGTATGTATGTATGCATTTATGCGTTTTGTGTGTGCATTTATTTGTGTACAAACAAACCCTCCAAATAAAGAATTTATCAAGCACCTTAGAGCCCTTTCTTTATCTAGACCAGTGCCATTTGTACTGGGACTGCATTGCTTAATATATCTCACAATTATTATTGCCTTCTGTTTTTCTTTCTTTCTTTTTACTAAGAAATTGTAATCAATTTAACCAAAACCAAACTTTCTTCGTTGGCGGCGTTGGAGAGCGCGATTGCGTCCATTGCTGCACCAACGATGAACGTTTCTTCGGCGGTGAAACGGGTGTTGGTGATTGCGACGATCGCGTTGAACGTGACGACGACGGTCGCGGCGGTATTGTAGGCAATCGTAGCCGTGTTAAGCGGAAGGGCCGTTTCTTATCGGCATACACGACCGGTGCATATAGCGTGTCTTCGTAGATAATTACCTCGTTAATATTCTTTTGGTATTGTAGCGCTTGATTCTGGCAGTCCTCACGATCCAGCTCCCGTTCTATCATCAACTGCTCAATATGTTTTTGTTTCTCATGTAGTAAATCCTAGCAAAAGTAAACGAGATAAAAAGAAAGAAAATTGGAAGAAAAAAAATAAAAATTATGAACCATAAATATTTTAATGCAGCATTTACTCAACTGTGCGACTTAAGATTACTGAGGCAAAGTGACACACATTAACATAGACAACAGTTGAAAATAGTGTAATCGTAGTTACAAATGATACACATACTCGGAACAACAATTACCACCAAAGCACTTACCAAAATTTACAGAGGTAAAAACGTAAACCAAATTTCCAAAAAAGTACGAGAAGTGATTTCGAAAATATATCGACCCCTTGCGCAAAATTATCGTATGCTACATTTTTTACGAAATTAACTTTTTGATGCAACTTTGTTTTACAACCCATAACGCATCACCTGTTCAAATATTACTGCTTAAATCCCAATAGCTACCCCAAAAATTAGGTTTGTTCGTCGAGCAAAAAATTTGTACGAATTTGTACGAATTATCATGATTTTTGCCCAAATCGCGTTCGTGCAGACCAAAAAAATATCCATCACTCAAAAACTGAGAGCACAAAGTGACAGTTCTCCTGAGAGAATTCGCAAATTCTTGCTGGAAAAATGTTAGCCAGCAAGAATTTGCAATCATGAAAAACATATGATTTTGGCACCTGGTTGCATTTTTGTCTACGATAATTTGAATAAATAAGTTCGTTAAATTTAAAAATTTATAAACGCGAGCGATTTTTTTATGAAAAAAGGAAGTAAATACTTGTTGATATAATTAATTTAGTTAATTCCAATGTTTTAAACTTAACTCGGCTGAAAAAAATTGTATTTTTCAATCGGAATGCAATTTGCAACCAGAGTCGATTTAAGAAACTAGACAGCTAGTATGATGAAGAAATTGAAATGTATGTTAAAGAAAGTCAGAATAACAAAAAATATACATGTATATCCTGTTTTTGTCCATCTGAAAGAATTTTAAAAATTCTATAAAAATTTATTATGTTTGAAATGCAACCGTGGACACCAGCTGGCAGGGAAACTTGCAAATTCCTGCAAATTTGCGTTCGTGCAGAAATTTGCAAGTTTCTCAACATGAGAGAGAATTTGAGAGAATTTTTTCTTACTCTCTGATATTTTGAGTTTTGGATAATTCTTACTGGATTTTCGACGAACAAATCTAATGACTGTAAATTTTATCGTATGTGACAATGAATTTTTTCTTCTGAGAAATTATCATATGTGCTAAGAAATTAGAACGTAGCGACTTTTCTACAAAAAAAAACTTGTGTTTAATTATATTTCTCAATTATCTCAGCAAATCTAAACTTTGGTATTAATCGTGCTAGCCAAAGCAGAGAAACATACAAAAAACACTTTCCTGTAAAATCTGGTTTTTGTTATTTACATACGATAATTTTGCGCAAAGGGGACGATATGTATACGTATGTATAAAGAATTTAAAGATAAATAAATTATGTATGATTTATGTATGTATGTATGTATCTGTGACATTTGGATAAAAAAAAAACTGAAGTGCCTATAGAAGGTTTGACTTTGGATTAATTAAGAATAAGTTTGCCTTCAAACATTTTATATTTTTAATAAGCTTCTATTAAAAGGGCATCTTAAACTACATCTGTGCTAGTTAATCTTTAAAACTTAATTTATCAAAATGTCACGGATAAACATATGTACATGCATGCATAGTACATATTATGCTTAAACCCCGTTTTATTCGATTCTCCTAATTAGATGATAAAACTTATTTTTTATCAAATATGAAACCAGTTATTTTTCTCGAAGCAGTTTGCTTTTTTTATTTTTCAAACATGTTTACTTATAAGTGCGATGTCCATGCGTACCGATTTTGGCGGGACAGTACCGATTTTGAGAATATTTTTTAAAAGTCGGGACGTACAAGTGTCCCGATATTTCATATTTGTACCGATTAAATCCCGATTTTCAGTGTCTCCCTGTACTCTGGCCCAAAAACAATTTAAGGGAGCCATAAACATATTTTTTTTTGTTGAACTGGTATTCTCGCTATACATATTGTAGTCTTTCATTCTTGTCTAAATTTTTTAGGTTTGTATAACTATTTGTTAAGTTTTTCTTTTTAAGTTTTAAGTTTTTCTTTTTTCTTTTTTTAAAAAAAGGGTTTTTCTTAACAGCGGTCGCCCCTCGGCGGGCAATGGCAAACCTCCGAGGATTTCTGCTATGAAAAACAGCTTTTCACAGAAATGCAATCGCCGTTCGGAGTCGGCGTAAAACTGTAGGCCCCTGCCCTTTGTGTGACAACATCAAGGCGCACGCCCCAAATCGGAGGAGAAGCTCGGCAGGTAATACGAAACTACTATCTATCTATCTATCTTCTATATACTTATTTCTAAAAGGTATTGTTCTGTTACCAAACGATATCTCCTTTAATATTTTATCAAATTTAATGAATGATATCTCATTTTAAAGGTGGGAAGCTAAAGTACTGCGAAAAATAGTCACTTTGTTCAAATTTAGTTATTAAATTAAAAAATGGTTTTAAAAAGCTGAAAACATTGTATTCGGTCAATAAAGCGCCATATCTTCCATAATACTACTTCAAATTGGAAGATTGAAACACTATTTTGAGGCACAGCTTCACCGGTTGCGGTAAAAAATAAAAATAAAAATTAGTAGGGTTGCCACCCGCTTAAAATTTGAGTGACTTAAATATATATCGAGTAAAATATTGCAACGCATCCAGGGAATAAAATGCATTTAAATACACTCTTAACCAAAAGTAATAATTGAATAATGAAGAGGGTTGCCTACTATTCATAAGTTTAAATACCACGCGGTAAATGTGCCACTGGAAGTCGTTAAGTGAATAGTTGGTGGAAGTGTTGTACCAAAATTTTCCAACAAAATATTAATTTTGTGCGACACGAAGTTCGCTGGGTACGCTTGTCTATTATTATTATTGTTTTTATTATTATTTTTATTATTATTATTATAAAAAATAATACTAATTCCCTCAAAAAAATCATGGATATGAAAAATATAAGCTAGACACAGTGGCGAAAATAAAAATAAGGAAGAGACATTTTAGCATTCTTTGGCTATTCCCCTTTCGCTTATTTAATCTTTATTATTTTTTTATGAAACTGTAGCTCGTTATCTAACAAAGACAATGTAAGTCAAAAATTGAAACATTGTACAAAAATTAGCGAAATTCGACAAAGCTTCATGAAAATTTTGAGCTTAAATAGATTTCTTAAAAACATTCTCAGTACTTATGCAGTTCTGTAGCCCTTTCATTTCAATGTGCAAATTTTATGTAGCTAGGACTTACCGTTGATTTTTGTCAAATCTTTTTTCTCGAAGGTGTTGCTCACTTTCTCCATACAAAAAAATTGTTGGACATACTTTGTATAAAAGAAAATGCGCGAACAAAAAATTGCCAAAAATCAGCGGTAAGTCTTAGGTACTTCAACTGTTGTTTTAAATAAAACTGTCTTAAAATCAGCGGTAAGTCTTAGCTACTTCAACTAACTTCACTTATACTAAAGTTTAATGGACTACAAAACTGCATGCAAACAATTCTAAAAATTTCTTAAAATTCGTCGAAATTTTATGAAGTTCTACAACGTGTGAAATTTT